TTCTTCACAGCAGTTATAAGTACAATTATATTTTAACTTCTCTCTCTAAAGTTATATCTACTCCCTTCTTTCTTTGTTTTAAATTTTGTATATAAATTTCTTTGATCTGAACTAAAAGCCAAAAATGAACTGAGACCCCAGACTTAAAAAAAAAGACAACTAATGTCTGTGCCTAAAAGCAGTTACAGAACTCAAAACAAAGTGTCGACACAATTTTAAAAGAAGAATTCATGGCTTTCAGGGTGGCTCAAAATGGATAATAACAAAAGAATCAGTAGTATATTCTGGAAGTATGAAGGGAAAATTTATTCTTTTAAAACCTGAATGAAGATATTGGGATAATCTCAGTGGAAAAAATACAAGGCCCAACTACACTTCCAGTTTGAGCTCTCAGATAACGCTGCTCCCAGCCTTGTGGTTCATCATCCAAATACCCTCATTCTTCTCTTTCATCCACTATTTCTGAATAAAGAGAGTTGGCTAGTTCCAAAGTTAAAGTTAGTGATTATTGCTGCTTGCTCAGATGTCTATTTAGCACAAACAGGGCAAAGGTTGCAATCATTACATATTTTATATATATATTTGTGTGTGTGTGTGTATGTATGTGTGTGTGTGTGTATAATACACTGTTGCAGTGTGGCAAGAAGGTAAAAACAACCATGTTTCCTGGGGAAAAAAAATGTGTTATAACTGAGTGGATTTCTGCTTCTGGATTTCCACCCTGCAGTGTTCCAGGAAATGAAGAATAGAGAAGTAATATTCTTTGACTGCCATTCCATTTGGGCAGGCAAAAGTATTGCTGTAGACATTTCCTGGGAAACACTGGGGGTGTTATATCTGACGGCTCCTGCGTTGCCAACTGCTGCACTGGAAAAGCCTATGTCAGATATCCAAGTGCTCTTTAATGAAGCTGAAATGGAAACCAGAACCTCTGTATTTTGGGGGCTGAACTGGCATCTCTGAGTGGTATATTCACATCTTCAGTGATGGGAACTGGTTGTCTGTCTAGTTGCCGTCTTTGAGGGGTGATGGAGAGGAACTCATTTTAGTACTGCTTTCGCAGCCTTCTGTATGGGGCACAGAGACCAAGTCAATTAGTGGGGCAGCTGCCTTGTGCCCTCTGGTTAAAGTCTGCATAAGATCCTCAAATCTCTTTCACAAATCTTCCTGTTCACAACTTGGCAAGGCTCCAAAGGTATTAATTAATTCTGCCTCCAGCAATCTGTTCTCCTCTCGCTGCCTGAAATTGCTATCTACATAGGCTTTTCCCAAGGACCGGGCTGGTTTGTTACCTTTGCAACTGATAGCAACAGCAGCATTCATTCCTTGATTCTCATTTCAAGTCCTGGCAGCATCTTGATGTAGTGACTCAAAAAGCAGGGAGAAAAAAATCGCCTTGGAAATATTAGGAAAGTGGTCAGGACGGGCTTCATTCTAAAAAGCAGACTTGGAATTGTAGACTGCTTGAATGTCAGTAGGATTTGCTTACAGCCCATCTTACTAGGAAGCCACCCCACCAAATGTAAGTCAACTGCATAGTAATGACATTGAAGTAACTGACTTAGGGAATAATGTATTGCTTTCTTTGAACCCCACCGTCTCCTGTTGAGTCTATTAAGGGTGATTTGTAGGTAAATCTGATTAGTTTGCAACATACAGTTGTTTTGATTTTGATTTTCAACCCTTCCGTGTCTCAAAAGTTGAAGGGCAAGTTTTTTGGGAGGGTTGTTCCCTTTCCTTAGTAGATTCAGCTACAGAGTCTTTACTTTGGGTTACAACAGCTTAATTGTTTTTGGACTCAGAGCTTTCTGCTTCAGCAATTTGAGTTAATCTATTGTAAAAGGACCGAGTAAATACATCAAGGGACTCTTTCAGTGGATCCACTTTCACTTTTATTTCTGTTCAATAATCAGAACTTGATAGAACAGTCTGCGTCATCAGTAAACTTTGCCTTGACACAAGATCTGTAGTCTCATTTTTAGAGATCTCTTCCTGACAACGGTTTGTAGTAAATGCTGCACCCAAACATGCTGCAGCTGATTCAGAAGAGGAAACTGTGATGTCTCAGGGGCCCAGGGAATTTGGTTCCCTGCTCTTTTAAGTGGACTTTCATCTTGTAAGTCCCAATTCAACACCTCCTATCTATTTGGAGTGTAACCAGGGCTTGGATTATTAATAATGCTAATGATGATGCTGTCATTACTTACATTATCTTCTTCAATCAGCTTCTTTTTAAATTCTGTAAGGTCATCTATTTTTTGTTGCTCGGGTGGTTTAAGCCAGTGACGGTGAACCTTTTGGGCTTGGCGGGTCAAAAATTTGGAAAATGCCTAACTTGATTCTGCTGACATGTCACCCCCCTCGAACAAAAGAGAAACAATTCTTTACATATTCATTTATTAAAAAAAAATACAGTCCAATCGTGTGTGGTGCTATGTATTATATAAAGAAATGTCAAACCATTACAAAAATTAAATCTGAGTATAACAAACTCAGTTTCTTTGGTAACTCAAACAGGGAGAATAGTTGTTGTCGGGTGTTAGGGAATTCTGGCGTGTCACCCAAAATATGGTGTGTCAACTTTGACACGTGTGTCATAGGTTCACCATCACAGGTTTAACAATGTCTGCATGCCAGAATTCATTCTTTGTCATTTCTTCCTCTTTCCAATGCTGTAATCCAGGGTTCCTCAACCTTGGCAACTTTAAGATGGGTGGACTTCAACTCCCAGAAT